TTTTCTAATTTCACCAAAACAAAATATATAGCCAAGTACACTGAATGCCAAAGGTCAACTCCCAACTGCCATGAATAATCGATTATTGTAAGTGATAATCGATTATTCAAGTCCGTTACAGGGTTTTCAAAAAGTGATAATCGATTATATGAAGTGATAATCGATTATTCCTGTATGACTCTGTGATAATCGATTATTGCTATTCTATAATCGATTATTGAAGATAAAAATGCAAGCTTACAAGGTTTACAAGAATTTCCTACTACATTTAATTTCTACAAATTGCTTTTAACTAATTTTAATATCTTCTTCAACTAAACATCTTGTAGCATCATCAAAACAAATTTCTTCAAGATTTACCAATACTCCTTATTGGTAACAATCCGCGTTGGAGGTTGAAGGAAGAGTGTTTCTCTCTTTCCCTTTTCGTGCATATCTCTTAGGATTTTAGGGTTCTAAAGAAGAAAAGGGGTTTCCCCCTCCTCGCGCTTCCAATCGAAGAAGAAAAGGGGTTTGCCCAATTTGCCCTTGAGTACATCTGATTTGACCTTTGTGCAATCCAGTTTTTAATACAAAAATCAATTCAAACTCCTTTATAATGCCATGTGTGATTAGTGAATGCACTGACCACGCCACGTAACCCAAACTTAAACGACCGTTTGTCCAATTTGACGGCAGGCCTATAATTGCATCAATTTTACAAAAACAAGGACCCAATTGAGACGCCGAAAAGAAAGAGAACCTATTTGAGATTTCGAACCAAAATAGGGACCTACCGAGACATTAAACCTATTTTTTTTTATATTCTAAATTTGTTTTTAGATATAGTGTAAGGCAAAATACATTGTTGAGATGAATGAAATGCTTAAGGATATCGATTGTGTTTGGATTTGAGAGATGCCTTTCAAATGGTGTCTGTACATAAAAAGATCTATAGACATTTGTTATCTTCTATTGAAAGAGATGGTAAATCGTTAGATTTGTGTCAATGAATTGTTTCACATTAAGCAAAGATTGGTACATTTATCGTTGTTGATGTTTGTATGTGTATGGGATTGCCTATAGGTGGATTAAAGGTACAATTTGATGAAAATATATAAAGACATTAGTAAAAGGATTAAATGCATTGTATGTATTGATGAAGATTATAAGACAATGTTTGTAGTTTGTATATATTGATTTATTTTGTTGTATTGTATTTTTTGAAAAAATCTAGAGTTATAAGTAATATCTCTTGTATAACATTAAACAATATCAATAATTTGTCAAATTACATTTAGGCGAATATTGTTCATAGATTTTTGGTGAAGTAGGTTAGTTATTACAGGTAACATGTGGGTTGAATTTGTTGTATATATTTTCTTGAAGTTGTAATTCACTGTTTATTAAATAATTTAGTTTTATTTCCAAGAATTTTACAATAGCCTGGTCAACAAAAATTGAGTCTTTGTTCAAGAACAAAGAAGTAAGCAACCTCACATTGTAATTTGTCTTTATATTTGTGTTTACGATGTGGTTATGGTTATATCTTTATATTTTGTATGGTGTTGTTCACAATGCTTTTCATAATGATGAAGAAACAGTTCTGAAATAAGTGGACGATAATATTGACAAAAGTTGAAACGAAGTTATGGTGAATAAAGTGAAACCAAATGAAAGGCACAACATGAACATACTTAATAACAAGAATGTTAACAAACTAATGTATTTATACTAAACTATGTTAACAACACATAACTATTTCAGTCCCTTTTACTCTCATAACCCACAAATAAAGTTTTAACGGCACGATTCTTAAACCATTTTCATAGTTCAACCTTCATCCGCATATACATATTACTTTGGTCTCTATCAACCTCATATCTTGCACCAACATTTTTACTGACATCATCCTTAGCCAGCTGTTTCAAACCATTCTTCTAACTCAGAAATAAGAAGTTCAACTTCCCGTATAGACTGTTCAATTTCAAGACGCAAAAGGTGATTCTTTTGTGTAGTATTGTGGTTCTTAATAACCTGAAAAATGATGTAACAATTTATTCAAGGAATAAAAAAAAGAAAGAAAATTTGCATTTAACAAAAAACAATCAAAATACACAAAGCACTTCTAATAAGAGTGTCACCTACTTTGACATTTATCTAATACAACAAATGGAGAAATTTTGTTATTCGGTAATTAAACTGAGTTGCAATTGACAAAATAATCAAAAAAATCATAACTAAAACATTAACAATCATACCATTAGTCCTACATCATCTTACAATATCAACAAATTTTATTCCAATTAAAAGTATATACACATGGTTTACTCAGAACAAGTAAACACATTATGGAACTTTTTCATTCTTCAATTCCAATGAAGCACGACATAAACTCTCCTATCAAATGCTAATAAATTAAACTATCTCAATTATATTTACTCAAACACACTGAGTTGTCCAGAATGTTAAAAAGTATGTTTCATTTCGATTTGGCAGGAAAAAAAAAGTTTTTTTCTTAACAAAATATAAATGCTCAAAAAAAAGCTGAAAAAAAATGTTCTATAAAAATATCTGAATGTTCTTGTAACAGTTATGTCATTCAATTACTTTGTCACAAAAGGAAAAATTAACACGGTATTGTGAACGTACCAACTCAGATCGCTTGTTAGAGGAAACCCTTTTCATGTTCTTCTTCGTAGCTTTCTTTAGCTTTGTTCCCATCTCACTGTCTGTTATGCCTAACTACTTCTCTGTAAAGAAAGGCCTTCGCGATGAGATATAGTAAAGGGCGGCGAGGGATTGTTAAAACCCTAACGCATGCGTATCAGACTCTATTTTAAGGCTGATTCTTTCACATATAATGTTTTCTCTTAAATTATTTATTTTATATTTTAATTAAATATCACAATTTAATAATTTATTATTAAAAAACAGCTGTAATATATATATATAAACCATATTGAAATGTGAAACACTTAATGAATATTTTCCTTAGGAAATTATTCTTACAGTTATTATTATTTTATAAAACCACCATATAATTTTTTCCTTAAATAATTTAATTTATATTTTAATTAAATATCACAATTTAGTATTTTATTGTTAAAAAGCTGCTGTAATTTAGTTATTTAAAAAGGAGTTGATTCTTAAATTCATCATCTTTTCTATTTTATTTTCAAATCTATTAAATTAATTTTATATTTTTAAATTGTTAACGAGAAAGTTAAACAATTTTATTTCAAATTTATTAATCTAAATTTATATTTTAAAATTGTTAATGAAGAAGTTGAATTCATAATTTTTTTTCTTTTTTTTTTAATTTTACTACTAAGTTATAGCTCCGGATATTCATCTATTAGTAACAAGATTATTTTCTTAGAATAATTATTTATTTTTCACATAGGTTAAAAGTTGAAAAAAATTCTTCTATTTTCAAATGTTCTGTAAATAAATTCTCACGGGTGAAGAATTCATAACCTAACGGTACCCCAATCCCATACTGACACATCACGTATTGGAGTAAGGGAACAAGAGGAACTACAATTACATATAATTTAAGGATATTCATGCGTACAGTAGAGAAGGAGATTAGGATAGTTGTAATCGATAGGGGTGGTTTAGAAAAAACCTACAACAAAAAAGTGTACAGATAAGTGCAAATACAGGATCCCAAATCAAATGAACTAGCTTGTAAACCCCTAATGTCAAAGTCTGCAACTGAATTCGTAGGATCATATGCCATTCAACTAGAAAAAGTATTCAAATTAAAAAAAATGTAATTTTAATTTTTAATAAAATAATATAGTTTGTGACCTCTTTTCATGTACAAACTCCTGGGATAAGAAACAACAATTAGCTCCATCTATCCTATGATTTTGTTTTTAATGTCAATGAATATACAAAGCTTATTTTGTTTTTAATGTCAATGAATATACAAACCTGAAAACTCAAATAATATAGACTCTAAAAAAGTCCCATGGCAACCCAGATCATCGTGCCCAGGAAACAGAATCAATTTCATCCCTTGCTGCTTTATACAGTTCAAGCCTTTGGGCACATTGTTGCCTCCTCTCCATCAAGGCAGGGTCTTCATCTAACAACTGGGATAGCTGTTTAGGCTGCACCAGTAGTAATAGCAGATCAAACATCGTGAATATATTTGAAATAAAAATAACCACAGAACTTACAGTTTTGTTGTATAAAAATTAAAATTGGATACCTCACTTTGGAAGTATATCCGAAGCAAACCAAAATTCTTCCATGATTGTGTAATATTTGTTACCAGAATAAGAGAGCAATTAAAGTTAAAGCGGACTATTACCTCTTTCTTCCCTATTTGTGTGTAGAAATGGTTTAGCAATGATAGTTTTGCTTCTCTGACTTGACAAAAAACCACAGCCTTTGGAATAGTGTTCTTGAGAGTGTCTGACACCATACCAATATAGGAAGTCACATTTGATCCAATCCTCCTGTAATGTCCTTCTCCATATCGATCCTCATTGGGGGTAGCTTGATTAGCTGGATTTCCGGCTTTCTCCATTTCTTGAGGAAGTCTCCGGAAGAACTCCACAGTGAGATACGATGCTTCCATGTCGACCAGTCGAATAGCTGTCTTCTTACTCTCTTCACGGAACTTCTCTAAAGTCTCATTTGTAGCTGCAGCTAGTTCGGCTTGAAGAGTTGGGAAACGTCTTAGTTCCTATTCAATCATAAATTCATAGTTTATTTCTAGGAACCTTAAACCAACAAAGATACTATAAAATAAAAGGACATAACTTAGACACAGTTCTTTTTAATGCTTTTGATGTTTTCCTATCAATAATGAAGTTTTACCTACTGTAGGTATGTGTCTCAAGTTATGTCCAAAAATAAATCCCAAATTTTACCTGAGTTTCAGCTATTGATTTCCTCACAAGTTCTTTCAAGACAAAGTGAACCTACATCGAAATCAAAGAAATCCCGCTTTAATTTCTATGTAAGATTTAATTAAAAAAGAAGAGGAGGAAAAAGTACAACCAGGTATACTTACTGCATCAACTGAAGCTTCAGCAGGGCCTCTAAAGTAGCTGAGAGCTCCCTCGATCAGGCGACGGTAACCTTGCTCTGGGGCAATTAAGTGAGGCTGGTAACCATCTGCCTCTGATACCACTTTCCTTACATTTTGAAGAGATAGATGACGGTCAAATGGAAGCTTCCGTAACGCAGCAGGAAGCTGATTATCAAAGACATTATAGATTTTATCNTATAGTGTAAGGCAAAATACATTGTTGAGATGAATGAAATGCTTAAGGATATCGATTGTGTTTGGATTTGAGAGATGCCTTTCAAATGGTGTCTGTACATAAAAAGATCTATAGACATTTGTTATCTTCTATTGAAAGAGATGGTAAATCGTTAGATTTGTGTCAATGAATTGTTTCACATTAAGCAAAGATTGGTACATTTATCGTTGTTGATGTTTGTATGTGTATGGGATTGCCTATAGGTGGATTAAAGGTACAATTTGATGAAAATATATAAAGACATTAGTAAAAGGATTAAATGCATTGTATGTATTGATGAAGATTATAAGACAATGTTTGTAGTTTGTATATATTGATTTATTTTGTTGTATTGTATTTTTTGAAAAAATCTAGAGTTATAAGTAATATCTCTTGTATAACATTAAACAATATCAATAATTTGTCAAATTACATTTAGGCGAATATTGTTCATAGATTTTTGGTGAAGTAGGTTAGTTATTACAGGTAACATGTGGGTTGAATTTGTTGTATATATTTTCTTGAAGTTGTAATTCACTGTTTATTAAATAATTTAGTTTTATTTCCAAGAATTTTACAATAGCCTGGTCAACAAAAATTGAGTCTTTGTTCAAGAACAAAGAAGTAAGCAACCTCACATTGTAATTTGTCTTTATATTTGTGTTTACGATGTGGTTATGGTTATATCTTTATATTTTGTATGGTGTTGTTCACAATGCTTTTCATAATGATGAAGAAACAGTTCTGAAATAAGTGGACGATAATATTGACAAAAGTTGAAACGAAGTTATGGTGAATAAAGTGAAACCAAATGAAAGGCACAACATGAACATACTTAACAACAAGAATGTTAACAAACTAATGTATTTATACTAAACTATGTTAACAACACATAACTATTTCAGTCCCTTTTACTCTCATAACCCACAAATAAAGTTTTAACGGCACGATTCTTAAACCATTTTCATAGTTCAACCTTCATCCGCATATACATATTACTTTGGTCTCTATCAACCTCATATCTTGCACCAACATTTTTACTGACATCATCCTTAGCCAGCTGTTTCAAACCATTCTTCTAACTCAGAAATAAGAAGTTCAACTTCCCGTATAGACTGTTCAATTTCAAGACGCAAAAGGTGATTCTTTTGTGTAGTATTGTGGTTCTTAATAACCTGAAAAATGATGTAACAATTTATTCAAGGAATAAAAAAAAGAAAGAAAATTTGCATTTAACAAAAAACAATCAAAATACACAAAGCACTTCTAATAAGAGTGTCACCTACTTTGACATTTATCTAATACAACAAATGGAGAAATTTTGTTATTCGGTAATTAAACTGAGTTGCAATTGACAAAATAATCAAAAAAATCATAACTAAAACATTAACAATCATACCATTAGTCCTACATCATCTTACAATATCAACAAATTTTATTCCAATTAAAAGTATATACACATGGTTTACTCAGAACAAGTAAACACATTATGGAACTTTTTCATTCTTCAATTCCAATGAAGCACGACATAAACTCTCCTATCAAATGCTAATAAATTAAACTATCTCAATTATATTTACTCAAACACACTGAGTTGTCCAGAATGTTAAAAAGTATGTTTCATTTCGATTTGGCAGGAAAAAAAAAGTTTTTTTCTTAACAAAATATAAATGCTCAAAAAAAAGCTGAAAAAAAATGTTCTATAAAAATATCTGAATGTTCTTGTAACAGTTATGTCATTCAATTACTTTGTCACAAAAGGAAAAATTAACACGGTATTGTGAACGTACCAACTCAGATCGCTTGTTAGAGGAAACCCTTTTCATGTTCTTCTTCGTAGCTTTCTTTAGCTTTGTTCCCATCTCACTGTCTGTTATGCCTAACTACTTCTCTGTAAAGAAAGGCCTTCGCGATGAGATATAGTAAAGGGCGGCGAGGGATTGTTAAAACCCTAACGCATGCGTATCAGACTCTATTTTAAGGCTGATTCTTTCACATATAATGTTTTCTCTTAAATTATTTATTTTATATTTTAATTAAATATCACAATTTAATAATTTATTATTAAAAAACAGCTGTAATATATATATATAAACCATATTGAAATGTGAAACACTTAATGAATATTTTCCTTAGGAAATTATTCTTACAGTTATTATTATTTTATAAAACCACCATATAATTTTTTCCTTAAATAATTTAATTTATATTTTAATTAAATATCACAATTTAGTATTTTATTGTTAAAAAGCTGCTGTAATTTAGTTATTTAAAAAGGAGTTGATTCTTAAATTCATCATCTTTTCTATTTTATTTTCAAATCTATTAAATTAATTTTATATTTTTAAATTGTTAACGAGAAAGTTAAACAATTTTATTTCAAATTTATTAATCTAAATTTATATTTTAAAATTGTTAATGAAGAAGTTGAATTCATAATTTTTTTTCTTTTTTTTTTAATTTTACTACTAAGTTATAGCTCCGGATATTCATCTATTAGTAACAAGATTATTTTCTTAGAATAATGATTTATTTTTCACATAGGTTAAAAGTTGAAAAAAATTCTTCTATTTTCAAATGTTCTGTAAATAAATTCTCACGGGTGAAGAATTCATAACCTAACGGTACCCCAATCCCATACTGACACATCACGTATTGGAGTAAGGGAACAAGAGGAACTACAATTACATATAATTTAAGGATATTCATGCGTACAGTAGAGAAGGAGATTAGGATAGTTGTAATCGATAGGGGTGGTTTAGAAAAAACCTACAACAAAAAAGTGTACAGATAAGTGCAAATACAGGGTCCCAAATCAAATGAACTAGCTTGTAAACCCCTAATGTCAAAGTCTGCAACTGAATTCGTAGGATATATGCCATTCAACTAGAAAAAGTATTCAAATTAAAAAAAATGTAATTTTAATTTTTAATAAAATAATATAGTTTGTGACCTCTTTTCATGTACAAACTCCTGGGATAAGAAACAACAATTAGCTCCATCTATCCTATGATTTTGTTTTTAATGTCAATGAATATACAAAGCTTATTTTGTTTTTAATGTCAATGAATATACAAACCTGAAAACTCAAATAATATAGACTCTAAAAAAGTCCCATGGCAACCGAGATCATCGTGCCCAGGAAACAGAATCAATTTCATCCCTTGCTGCTTTATACAGTTCAAGCCTTTGGGCACATTGTTGCCTCCTCTCCATCAAGGCAGGGTCTTCATCTAACAACTGGGATAGCTGTTTAGGCTGCACCAGTAGTAATAGCAGATCAAACATCGTGAATATATTTGAAATAAAAATAACCACAGAACTTACAGTTTTGTTGTATAAAAATTAAAATTGGATACCTCACTTTGGAAGTATATCCGAAGCAAACCAAAATTCTTCCATGATTGTGTAATATTTGTTACCAGAATAAGAGAGCAATTAAAGTTAAAGCGGACTATTACCTCTTTCTTCCCTATTTGTGTGTAGAAATGGTTTAGCAATGATAGTTTTGCTTCTCTGACTTGACAAAAAACCACAGCCTTTGGAATAGTGTTCTTGAGAGTGTCTGACACCATACCAATATAGGAAGTCACATTTGATCCAATCCTCCTGTAATGTCCTTCTCCATATCGATCCTCATTGGGGGTAGCTTGATTAGCTGGATTTCCGGCTTTCTCCATTTCTTGAGGAAGTCTCCGGAAGAACTCCACAGTGAGATACGAAGCTTCCATGTCGACCAGTCGAATAGCTGTCTTCTTACTCTCTTCACGGAACTTCTCTAAAGCCTCATTTGTAGCTGCAGCTAGTTCGGCTTGAAGAGTTGGGAAACGTCTTAGTTCCTATTCAATCATAAATTCATAGTTTATTTCTAGGAACCTTAAACCAACAAAGATACTATAAAATAAAAGGACATAACTTAGACACAGTTCTTTTTAATGCTTTTGATGTTTTCCTATCAATAATGAAGTTTTACCTACTGTAGGTATGTGTCTCAAGTTATGTCCAAAAATAAATCCCAAATTTTACCTGAGTTTCAGCTATTGATTTCCTCACAAGTTCTTTCAAGACAAAGTGAACCTACATCGAAATCAAAGAAATCCCGCTTTAATTTCTATGTAAGATTTAATTAAAAAAGAAGAGGAGGAAAAAGTACAACCAGGTATACTTACTGCATCAACTGAAGCTTCAGCAGGGCCTCTAAAGTAGCTGAGAGCTCCCTCGATCAGGCGACGGTAACCTTGCTCTGGGGCAATTAAGTGAGGCTGGTAACCATCTGCCTCTGATACCACTTTCCTTACATTTTGAAGAGATAGATGACGGTCAAATGGAAGCTTCCGTAACGCAGCAGGAAGCTGATTATCAAAGACATTATAGATTTTATCTCCACCTGATCGCCTATGACAATAAACAAAAGGGTCATATGTAACCAAAGATACCTCTCAACTTGTAGACCACAAAGAAAGATTATTCATGACTATCATTCCAAATTGCTTTACCATATTCAGGTGGTACATTAAATTAGTATACAGTGCTTTTTGTCTAGAAAAGAACAAGAACCAAAACAAAACCAGATTTTAAATAGGATTTAGCTAGATGATGGTGGGGAAAAGTCATACCTAGTTTGAAGTAAGTGCATGTTTATTAACGACCTTCTAAGGGAAATAGTTGGTTTTTCTCTTTCCTTTTTTTCGTATGAAATTGCAAGAAAAAAACTATTTCACTCAAATTAAGCTAACCCAAACATACACAATAAAACCCTTGAGGATGGTTGAAAATAGTCGAGTTTCAATAACAACATGCCATCCACCCAAAAATAAAATCAAATAAACCAGTATCATATAGAGTAAAATTGAACATCTAGCAAATATTTACCCTCCGAAAAAAATTCAAATAAGATAGTTTAATAGAGTAAACGTGAATATCATAGCATATATTTACCCTCCGTCTAAATGCTCCTTGAATATCTTATCAAATGCGCGGCATAGTTCTAGGATGGTGTATAGTTGAGCCTGTACGAGAAAAAATAGTTAAAATATTCTTCTGCAGCATACTATAGAAAGAGTACGTACATTCAGGAAATAATCACAAATATAAACCACTCACCCCAGCATCAAGAGCGATTGGTCTCCCAATCTGATTCATCTCTGATTCAAGTTCTTCAATTGTTTTGTTTATCAAAGATGTTATACTGGGTATTCGTGCCCTAATTACTGACTCCAAATGCTACAATATAATTAAGATGATTAAAATAACAAATTTTTAATTAAAGAAAGGAAAGAACAACTTTCTGAAAGACAGACCTGTGAGAGAAGCTTTGCAAGGTATACGGAACCCATTTGATTGGCTAAGTGTCCATAGTCAGGACTGGTTTCAAAATACTCACTCTCCTTACGCCTAGCAACAATCATATCAACGTTTTTATTGATATCTGCTTGGGATCTATTTACTACACCAACCCAGGGGTGTTGCAGACGGTAAGATCTTCCTTCAAGGACCTTAAGGGAAAAAAATGGGTAAGGCAAACTAATTATATGGTTATACAGGGCACTGCTAAAACTTTTAGAAATTTAAAGGTATACATCATAACCACAGCGAGAGAGGGAACATGCTAGAAGGAGAAAGAAAGATTACATCCAATGCATTAGTTCCTTTGTCCATTAAATCCAGTTTTGTCAACACTCCAAATGTCCTCTCACCTGGATTATTTATAGTCAAGGATTTCAGTGACAAATAATGACCCGAGCAAAGGTAATAAACAAATCATCATTCCACAGAAAATTTATGTACCAGAGGGATCCACCTCCTTCGAAAGCTTAATAGCATCCGAAGTTGCTATGTCCTGGTTCGCCGGAGATATTGCCAGTATAATACAATTAGGCTGTCAAAGAATCAAGTATAGTACCAGTTAAAGTAAATGTGTATCTTACCACCATCACCTCTTGGTGACCAATTTATAAATAAACATTTCAACAAGGTATAAAATGGTAATCAACTACCAACACCATAGAAACGGAGAAATTGGAAATAGGCAGTTTATGTCTCCAGTCTCAGTGGTGAAAGTACAAGAGCTAAATGAAATAACAATGAATTATCCAATCAAGGTTATTCAATAGGAAGAGTGAGAAGAAATTAAGCAAAGTCAGAAAACTTCTTTTACCTTCTCAACATAAGACCGAACCATATTTTCAATGTCTTCAACAATAGTCTGAGGCTGTCCCTCTGAAAATGACAATTGCTAATCAGTATAAACTAAAAACTCTATCACATAGTCCAAAACAAAATTACAGTGATAAATTGAATGCAATTGATAAATTGAATGCAAGTCATACCTACAGCAACTTTAGTCAATCCAGGTAAATCAATCAAAGTTAGGTTGACAACTGCTCACACAAACGGAGATTGAATAAGGAAACACACATAACTGAAAAACTAGTCAAATGTTATGCCACATAATTATACATAAAAGTAATACTGGTGAAATGAACTCAACTAAGTAAAAAAATGAATGAGTATAAATCAAATATAAAATTTTACAAATGATCAGTGCTTAACATCAAATATATAGAGGCAATCAAGAGCAAAGGTCATGAGTAAACTATAACAAAGCAGCTGTAACTACCAAGATAGCAAGTGAAAGTGTAGATAAGACTGGTGAATCCGATTGCCTGACCCAGCACAACGGACTAACATTATTTTCAATTTTTTTTAATTATAGCAATTATTTTTAAAAAGAAGTTGACCCATGAGACTATGTCCTGGGTCAGGATAGTTAAGCGTGCACCAAATGGGTCGGATCAACATTGCTCCACTTCAATTTAGATCACTATTTTCCAGTCTAACCAAACCTGTATTATGAGTTATTCGGATTGTCCAATTGGTCAGTCCAATTTTGCCAGCTGCCCTTATTAAAAGATGTTCTAGTCCTGCTTTATTTAATTGGAAGCAGAGCTGGGGAAGTAGATTTCAGCAAATCAGCAAGCTTTGTACGTACAGGTGGAACAAAGGCAAAAAAAGGAGGGCAAATTCATTTTACAATTTATCGGCCTTAGTAGTTGGAAACTGAAACTACACAAATAATGGGGTAAGAAGCGCCTGAAGACCTCTGTAAATTCATGTTAGTCTAGTCTTCCCGTAAATCCATTTCTTTAGGCTATTCTTCGTCCTTATAATATAGCTTAAGGACAGGAAACGGTTCATGTAATAGGTTTTCAAAATATTCAGATTGTTGATACTTCTTTTTCTTAGTCTTTCCCTTTGCCATCACGTTATTTTTTTATGTCATCCCCTAATAGCCAGATTTATAGCATTTGCCAGTGTTCTATATTTTACCTGTATTAGATGTATAGGAAGGCTCCTGATATGTTAACATTTCTCACTTTACTTAACTCTGCCTATCTTCAAATGTAGTACACGACAGCCTAGAGCTTGAATTCCTCTGGTTCTTAGAGTTGTAATGATATTTTTGATGGCAAGTAAAGAAGGAATAATAGTAATTCAAGTGTTTAAATATTTAGAAGGATAATAGACGTTCTTCCTTCCTCCCTTGGGGGTTTCTTTCCTTTTGAACAACGAGATTGTTGAGTTCCTTATGGTATTCAGCCAATGATTATTTCGAGGGAGATTACTTCACAAAAAATCTAACAGATAATAGGAATCTGTTATATTGATCAACACACCATTTGGGTTATTGCAAATTATTTTACTTTGAAATGGTATGGGAATACTATTACCTCAGTTTGGTATTCATTTTTCTATTTCAATAAAAAAAAAATCCTTTAATTCAAAAATAGATAACAAAAACATGAGTTTGCAGCAAATCATCCATCTAGTAGTAAGAAGTTAAAGGCAATAAACAATAAAAGTGCACCATGTGGAGAGTAAATGCTAAGGTGAATTGGAACAGGAGATATTTGCTTTGTCTTCCCCGTTACTCTATCAGTTTCATTCTGAATCTCCTGGCGAACAAAAGCTACAAAAAGAAATTAAAATTATAAAAAGGAATGAAAATATCAGTTAGATTATAAACACCACACAAATAATTGCACCAGTGAGCTAACTGTGAAGCAGTACAATTATCGCAAGATAGCAGTGTATGATAAATTGCAAGCGAACTAGTAGTTTAAGGATAATGACAAAAAAACAAATCGCTAGAATGAGTAAATCCACAGTTAATTAACGCTGGCTGTGAGTCTAACAACACGAAACCTAAAATATACTACACAATTATAGGGGAAACGCACGCAAAAACAATTGAAACACAACGGAATCAAAGAAAAAAAAACCACAAAACGGNCGATTGGTCTCCCAATCTGATTCATCTCTGATTCAAGTTCTTCAATTGTTTTGTTTATCAAAGATGTTATACTGGGTATTCGTGCCCTAATTACTGACTCCAAATGCTACAATATAATTAAGATGATTAAAATAACAAATTTTTAATTAAAGAAAGGAAAGAACAACTTTCTGAAAGACAGACCTGTGAGAGAAGCTTTGCAAGGTATACGGAACCCATTTGATTGGCTAAGTGTCCATAGTCAGGACTGGTTTCAAAATACTCACTCTCCTTACGCCTAGCAACAATCATATCAACGTTTTTATTGATATCTGCTTGGGATCTATTTACTACACCAACCCAGGGGTGTTGCAGACGGTAAGATCTTCCTTCAAGGACCTTAAGGGAAAAAAATGGGTAAGGCAAACTAATTATATGGTTATACAGGGCACTGCTAAAACTTTTAGAAATTTAAAGGTATACATCATAACCACAGCGAGAGAGGGAACATGCTAGAAGGAGAAAGAAAGATTACATCCAATGCATTAGTTCCTTTGTCCATTAAATCCAGTTTTGTCAACACTCCAAATGTCCTCTCACCTGGATTATTTATAGTCAAGGATTTCAGTGACAAATAATGACCCGAGCAAAGGTAATAAACAAATCATCATTCCACAGAAAATTTATGTACCAGAGGGATCCACCTCCTTCGAAAGCTTAATAGCATCCGAAGTTGCTATGTCCTGGTTCGCCGGAGATATTGCCAGTATAATACAATTAGGCTGTCAAAGAATCAAGTATAGTACCAGTTAAAGTAAATGTGTATCTTACCACCATCACCTCTTGGTGACCAATTTATAAATAAACATTTCAACAAGGTATAAAATGGTAATCAACTACCAACACCATAGAAACGGAGAAATTGGAAATAGGCAGTTTATGTCTCCAGTCTCAGTGGTGAAAGTACAAGAGCTAAATGAAATAACAATGAATTATCCAATCAAGGTTATTCAATAGGAAGAGTGAGAAGAAATTAAGCAAAGTCAGAAAACTTCTTTTACCTTCTCAACATAAGACCGAACCATATTTTCAATGTCTTCAACAATAGTCTGAGGCTGTCCCTCTGAAAATGACAATTGCTAATCAGTATAAACTAAAAACTCTATCACATAGTCCAAAACAAAATTACAGTGATAAATTGAATGCAATTGATAAATTGAATGCAAGTCATACCTACAGCAACTTTAGTCAATCCAGGTAAATCAATCAAAGTTAGGTTGACAACTGCTCACACAAACGGAGATTGAATAAGGAAACACACATAACTGAAAAACTAGTCAAATGTTATGCCACATAATTATACATAAAAGTAATACTGGTGAAATGAACTCAACTAAGTAAAAAAATGAATGAGTATAAATCAAATATAAAATTTTACAAATGATCAGTGCTTAACATCAAATATATAGAGGCAATCAAGAGCAAAGGTCATGAGTAAACTATAACAAAGCAGCTGTAACTACCAAGATAGCAAGTGAAAGTGTAGATAAGACTGGTGAATCCGATTGCCTGACCCAGCACAACGGACTAACATTATTTTCAATTTTTTTTAATTATAGCAATTATTTTTAAAAAGAAGTTGACCCATGAGACTATGTCCTGGGTCAGGATAGTTAAGCGTGCACCAAATGGGTCGGATCAACATTGCTCCACTTCAATTTAGATCACTATTTTCCAGTCTAACCAAACCTGTATTATGAGTTATTCGGATTGTCCAATTGGTCAGTCCAATTTTGCCAGCTGCCCTTATTAAAAGATGTTCTAGTCCTGCTTTATTTAATTGGAAGCAGAGCTGGGGAAGTAGATTTCAGCAAATCAGCAAGCTTTGTACGTACAGGTGGAACAAAGGCAAAAAAAGGAGGGCAAATTCATTTTACAATTTATCGGCCTTAGTAGTTGGAAACTGAAACTACACAAATAATGGGGTAAGAAGCGCCTGAAGACCTCTGTAAATTCATGTTAGTCTAGTCTTCCCGTAAATCCATTTCTTTAGGCTATTCTTCGTCCTTATAATATAGCTTAAGGACAGGAAACGGTTCATGTAATAGGTTTTCAAAATATTCAGATTGTTGATACTTCTTTTTCTTAGTCTTTCCCTTTGCCATCACGTTATTTTTTTATGTCATCCCCTAATAGCCAGATTTATAGCATTTGCCAGTGTTCTATATTTTACCTGTATTAGATGTATAGGAAGGCTCCTGATATGTTAACATTTCTCACTTTACTTAACTCTGCCTATCTTCAAATGTAGTACACGACAGCCTAGAGCTTGAATTCCTCTGGTTCTTAGAGTTGTAATGATATTTTTGATGGCAAGTAAAGAAGGAATAATAGTAATTCAAGTGTTTAAATATTTAGAAGGATAATAGACGTTCTTCCTTCCTCCCTTGGGGGTTTCTTTCCTTTTGAACAACGAGATTGTTGAGTTCCTTATGGTATTCAGCCAATGATTATTTCGAGGGAGATTACTTCACAAAAAAGCTAACAGATAATAGGAATCTGTTATATTGATCAACACACCATTTGGGTTATTGCAAATTATTTTACTTTGAAATGGTATGGGAATACTATTACCTCAGTTTGGTATTCATTTTTCTATTTCAATAAAAAAAAAATCCTTTAATTCAAAAATAGATAACAAAAACATGAGTTTGCAGCAAATCATCCATCTAGTAGTAAGAAGTTAAAGGCAATAAACAATAAAAGTGCACCATGTGGAGAGTAAATGCTAAGGTGAATTGGAACAGGAGATATTTGCTTTGTCTTCCCCGTTACTCTATCAGTTTCATTCTGAATCTCCTGGCGAACAAAAGCTACAAAAAGAAATTAAAATTATAAAAAGGAATGAAAATATCAGTTAGATTATAAACACCACACAAATAATTGCACCAGTGAGCTAACTGTGAAGCAGTACAATTATCGCAAGATAGCAGTGTATGATAAATTGCAAGCGAACTAGTAGTTTAAGGATAATGACAAAAAAACAAATCGCTAGAATGAGTAAATCCACAGTTAATTAACGCTGGCTGTGAGTCTAACAACACGAAACCTAAAATATACTACACAATTATAGGGGAAACGCACGCAAAAACAATTGAAACACAACGGAATCAAAGAAAAAAAAACCACAAAACGGAAACAAGCTTTCAAATTGTTCTACAAGCAAGACAGAAACAGGAGAAGCAAAAAAGAACATCCTATCATATTTCTATGATTAGCAAATAATTTATTCATCACAGCACAAGTCTCAACTCGTGAAAACCATCAACTAGTAAACCATTAAATACATAACAGTAACACGAATTACACCAAGCAGCAAGCAAAATCAGTTACTGAACCACAATACCATAATCAGTGATCTTTTTCCCTGGCATGTGAAGAAACTCTGCATACTCCTTCGCTTTGCCATCAACCTTGTGAAGCTGCAAGACTAATGGACGCCTCGTCACAATTCCTGCAATTCAAACACAAACTCCAATTCAAAATCAATTAGCTAAATTAACTAAGATTTTTTTGGACAAACTTTTCAATAAGCTCAAACGAGAGTTTTCAAAAAATTAAAATGATGAAATAAGTTTAATTAATTTTATGTTTATTATTTTCCTTTTGTTAAGTTTATCAAACTGCGCCTAAATAAATATCACACTCCACAAAAATAGAAAAGGAACAGAGAGAGAGAGGGCGAGCGAACCTGATCCTCTAGGAAGAAAGTCACGTCCAACGATGCTTTCCAGAACCGAAGACTTACCCGAACTCTATTAATTTTCAATAAATAAACAAATAAATTAATTTTATTTTTTGAATGATTCTTATTTTAGAACTGAACAAAGATTTGTATTAAACGATTATGTAGATTCAATTCAAAAGTGAAGCTCAAATTTTTGCCATAAAACAACGCCTAAGAAATTGTATCTGTCTTTTCTCTTTTTATTTTTGGATGGTTGTAGTTCTGCTCCTAGCATACAGCAGAACATGTTGACGTTTTGAACAAAAACTTATGAAACAAATGTTTTGTGTTTTCTCTCCAGTTGAAGTTTTACTTCACATAACAAATATCTGTAATAAAGAATTGTACGCATTGATCATGGAGGTAAAACTCTAATTTTGACTAGGGAACGACACAAACAACATCAAAGAAATAGTATATATGCTTTCTCTTCTTATTTTTGGATTGTTTTACTTCTACTCCTATGATACAACAGAACATGTTCAAGTTTCGGACAAAACTTTACGATTCTTTACAGCTGTTGTTTGGCTATTCTCTGATTGGAGTTTCACTTAACCTAGTAAAGGTTCGTATTGAAAGATCACAGGGATTAATTATCAAGACGAAACTCTAAGCTAAACTCCAGAACAACATAAACAGCACCAAAAACACGTATGTTTTTTCTGCTTATTCTTGGATCCTTCACCTTTTACTTGCATACAAAGAACATGTTGACGTATTGGAAAAAAACTTCGATGTATTATTTCCTTCTAAGTGTGTTATTTGAGTTATTCTTCGAATCAAATTTTAATTCGCGCAATATAAAGGTTTGTATTCAAGGTTTCTACAAATTTGATTAGCGAGGTGAAACTCTAATTTGACTGGAGAACAACACAAACAAACAGAACCTAATAAATTCTACGTGAGTTTATTTTCTCCTTTTGTTTTTAGATGATTTCTACTTCTACGAACAGAGCATGTTCATGTTTAGTGATGGTGAAGGTGATGACCTGACCGCCGACGACGGCGACAGAAGGAAGAGCTTCCCATAGAGAAGAGAAGGCGTTGTTATCGGCGTCGCCGCCATAGTCGCCGAGCACGGTGCAGGCCTGCTGGATTCTGTTCACCAAACCGATCAAACTCTCCATGCTCGTCATCTCGTGAGGAAGAAGATGATGATGAAGGTGTAGAGGAAGCACAGAGGATTCAGAAACCCTAGACTTTTGCAGAGAGTGGAAGAAGAAATTCTAGAGAGAGAGAGAGAGAGAGAGAGAGAGAGAGGAGAGAGACTTAAAGGACAAGTTAGTTACAGACAGAGAACAACGAAAGAAGGTGAAGGAGGGAAAAGCAATGAAATTATGTGGAAGGAGTCCACCGTTACATGTTCTCTCTTACAAGTTTGAATTAATTATTTATTTATTTTATTATTATTATTTTTTTCAAGCCGCATAGTGAAAAGATGCATATTTACAGTAAATGAATTACAATATATTATTATCATCTATTAATACTTTTATTTTCATCTATTAATATTAAGAAAGTTACATAGAGAATGGTGTAATTTTTTTATCATTTTAAGAATGAAATTAATTCATAATAAAATGTTCTTTTAAATTTTGTTGTAAATGACGATTTTATTTCAAACCCTTTTAGTATATAAATGGCACTTCGTTAAAATTGTTGAAATATATTTCCTAAATGATAATTAGTCAAGTATATAGAATCAAATTTTTAAAAGTATATTTTTTAAAAACATTTCAGAAATATATTTTTTAAACAGTCTCATAACATGTATTTTTTAAAATTTTTAAAAACTAAGAAAGATTTTATTTTGAAAAAATTGATTGAACGATCCATTAAATGACGATAAATAATAGATAGATCATCAACTATCCATAAATAAGTGAAATATATCTTACAGGGATAAAAATAAAATTTAGTCGTTTTATAATCTGAGGTAAAATGTAAGGAATTTTATTTCATAGAGATAAAAGCTAAAAAAAATTATTCTATAGGTACTAAGAACATGTTTAAATTTAAATTATTACAATAACTATGTATATATATAGGAGAGTTCAAATGACACAAGTGTAAATCACATCAAACGACCATACTTTCGATAATATTTAACTGATACTTTATTCTCAAAATGTGCTATTAAATCAATACAAAATTAGAAACAAACTTAAATTTTATTCGATAGTTCATCAAAATTAACATAGTATATATAACTCATAAAATATAGACAAATATGAAATGTTTGATTTGTCAGTGTTAATAATTTGTTCTAAATTTTAATATACATGTGCTTATAATTAACAATCTGATCGTCAAAAATTAAGTTTTGAAAAATATTAAAAGATATATATGATTTTATTCTTATGGACTGAATTTTTAGAATATAATGAATACTGATTATTGTCAGTTTTAAGAAAATTCATTATCAATCAGAAATTATCAGATTATAAGTCATCATTGACTATAAAATAATTATTAAAAATAATAAAATTATTATGATTATATGAAAGTAGGAAAAGAATTTACATATGTGGAGCCAAATTTTGACAAATGTTCTGGAAAGCTTGAAAGTGTTTTTCTTTTCTTTCGCTATTACTTTTGTCCGTTAGGGATTGTTTTTTGTTTTGCTTTAAGAGAAAGTGGGAGCGACAATTGTTTGAACGTCGAAAATTCAAAGTTAATAGTCATTTGGTGATGTAATATTGTTCCTGTGTGATGACTCTTTCAAGAACAAACGAGGCGGCGTCAATATTCAACCACTTTCCAGGTTTTTTCATTGGGGTGAATGCGGTTTAGTTTATAGAATTTTTTTAATCATTTAAAAATACATTTTTATTATTATTACATTATCTAATATTAACATACAGGAATACTTTCTTCAAATATTATACTTGAGTTACTATATATTTAGTATTTTTTTAAACATTTTAACATCATTTACACTGAAAAAAAATTACTCTACAATCAATAATAACAATCATAAACATTATTATGGATCAATCACAAGATAACACGTAGATAATATTAAAATGTTATCAAAAAAATATTGTCAAAGTACCATTATTTTAATTTTAGTATGTTAAAATCATGAGATTGTTCCACATAAAAAAAAATATTTTGATACTTAAACATTGAATCATAAATATTATATTTCCTTGTTTTTTTTATGTATATAATTTCATATAGTATTGGAAAGATCCTAAATTATTTGAAATTAGGATTCTTTTCTGGGGATAAATCTTTCTCTTTTTTCAAGACTAACTAGGTCCATCTTTGTTAATATAAATTGTTTGGTATATGTATATTTTAGTATTGTTGTCGTTTTACTTTGTGTTTGAATACAAAAATTCATAGTTTTTAAGATATTCACGAGAATTTGAATTGATCTTATGTTAAATTATTTTATTTTTTGAATATTTGTTTTAATAAGATAATTCAAATTTACTGAATTTTAGTTTTCTTATTTAGATAAAATATTTCAATTATTATTAAATTTAGACAATTATTAAAATACTAAGTAGTTATTAATATTTCAAAACTATCAATATTGACTATCTGTTTTAGTCGATTTTTATTGATAATATTTTTCAATCAAAATTCATTAATATTTTATTAATTGATATTAAAAAATGTTTTTTCTTGATTAATTATAGTGAGATTGACCATAATTATTTAGGTTACCATTGAACAAAATTATTTTTATAATGTCATTTTTAGTTACAGTTATTTTTGTTGACCTTTTGGTTGATGTTGAGTGAAAAAATTTCCTAGTTAACATTGACAAAAAATAATCCAGTTAATTTTAGCCAAAAGTTTTCTTAGTTAACATTAAAAAAAAAAATCTAACAAACTATTAAAAAAGAATAATGTTATTGTCTTTGATAAGAAAATTAATCATTGCAAACATCGAGAGAAAAAATCACAACATACATCAATCGAAAAAATCTATATCAGATCTGCCAAAAAATAGTTTTCTGACATTGGTCAAGAATTTTGACTATTATTTTAGAAGAAATAGTTAGAACAAAAAAAATAATAATATAAATAAAAGATAATCTCGTATTCAAATCAATAAGAAAAAAAAAAAACTTACTCAAGGCAAAAAGTAATTATCCTAAATTTGACTAAGAAAATTATAATTATAGTTGATCCAGAAATAATTTTGACTTACATTGACTAGAAAATAAATCTAATTGATGTTGGTTGAAAAAATAAAACTTGACTAACATAATTGAAATTACCTCGTCGACATAAACTAAAAGCAATAACATTAGTAAATAAACACCATCAATATTCATAAAGGAAACTCAAATTATTGCCTGAGAAATAACTCTAGTCTAACATTAATAAAATAACCGTGATGATGTTGATTGAAAAAAAACACAGTAAACTTTAATAATGTTGAGAATATAAAAACTTAAACCTTGTCCAAGTCTATAATAATTCAGGTCAAGTCGATGACATCGTAATTAAAATGAGTTAAGGAAAAAAAATATAAAAAGAATAATATGAATTTAGGAATATAAATAATTTTAAGTTTTTACTTTTCTTCGTGAAATATGAAATTGTATAATCTCTTAAGTAACGTGTTTGAAACAAAAATGAAAAGAGTGTAGGAGAGAGGAACGAGACTAGAAGTGATATATAGAGAAGAAGATGAAAGAATAAAGATAAAAATAGACATGTCATTTCTACTTCATAAAAGGTTGAAATTTATGGAGATTTCGTGTTGTTGCTGTCACCGTGAGATTTGTTTCATCGTGTACACTGATTTTCTTTAACGCTGAGTTGACTTGAGGGTGTCATACTGTTTACGAAGATTGGAGAGCGAGGAATGAAAGGTAATTACGCGTTCACTTGAACTGAATTGCGCTGATGGAATTGAAGTGAATGGCAGGATTCATTTTTATTCTTCACTCACCCGCATATGTGAGGAGATTTAGAGGGATCAAATGCACTTTCTCTGAAATGCCCCTGTAACTGAATAAAATTCCCAGATGAATAAACGTTCTTAAATTATAATCAAATTGCATTGCATATTTAAAATACACAGCGTTCATTGTGCACTCACGATGAAGAAGAGGACTCTGCGTTCACTGGAAAAGAGGAAGAACGCTGAAACTGTATTCGGTTCGAAGACGGGCGTATCCGGTTACAGGCGATTGAAGAAAAGCATGTGAAACTGTATTCGGTTACCCTCCTGCGTATTCGGTTAGCCTCTGCGTATTCGGTCTCCATAGGTGTATTCGGGTAGCAGCGGGGGGCATACGAGGCCGATTGATTGGCGTTAACGGGGGAGGTCTAATTTTCTGCAGTCGCATGCTCTGCGGCTCCGGTGGATTGTGTGGAGGTCTAGGTGGATGATCCTGGGAGGGTGATCCAGTAAGCTGCTGAACAATATCCCGAAATTCATTCTTGCTAATGTTGTAAACCAAGTATGAGCTGTAATCTAAGCATCCTGAACTTCCAATAGACACCCAAGATTCCCAATTCCTTTCATTCCAAATAAAAACCAATATCACCAGCAGCATCAAAGTTAACCCTAGAGCCGACGAAAGAGACAAAAAAAACATACCCTTTTTAGAGCTTCGCCCGAAATTTGAAGGAGTGGAGGACCAACTTCAAATTCAGCACGGGATCAGATCGAAACTGGGAGCAGAGAATGAAAGAAAAATGGGTAATGGAAAGGATAATACCTGGAAAGGCTTTTTGAGTAAAAAAGCGAAGCTTTGAAGGAGTAAGACTAATTCTTATAGATAAACTTTTATAAATTCATTTTACTAAATTATAATTTTTTCAATTTTTAAAAATTAATTTTAATAATTATTTTATTTTTTTACTTTTTATAAACAATTTTACAATTAAATATAACATTAATAATTATTATTTTATATTACTTTAATAACTAACAATAATTTGGTAATTTTTAATTTCTATCAATTAAATAAATTTTTTAAAACTATCACATCAATCAAATCCTAGATTAATTCTTACAAACTTTATTTCTAAATTTACTCTCAATTACATCTAAATCCACTCAAATAAATACAAAAATAAAATTACCCTCAAATCTCCTCAAATTTACTTGATCATTCTCTCCAAATCATATTTCCGATCTTCCCCAGGTAAAAACACCCTAAATCATCGTTTTCAATGCCGTTGGAGCTGTTAGTTAAAGTGTGACCAAATAGTTTTATATGTTCACTTTCTAAACTCTCAACACAAATCTAAAGGAACAAAAGTAAATTAATTAATTTTAAATAAAATTAGAATAAAACTGGAACATTTAAATATAGTCAAATAACAAGATATTAAATAAAGAAAAAGTTCAGTCTTTAATAAATATGACATAATTATTCGTGTTTATATATATATATATAAAAGATTCATGATTAATAATTGATACTCCTGTGTAATAGATATTTTAATATATTAAAATTAAATTTTAATTTATATTTTATTAATTTAATTTAATTGAACTTAAAATTTAATTTATTTTATTAAGTTAAATTTTATTTATATTATATTTTGTTTTAAAAATTTATAAAATATAGTTTAAATATGGTAGATATATGTTTAAAATTTTTGAATATTTTTTCCATAGATATCTAAATAACGAGAAAAATAACATATTGAATATTTCTTTTTTTGGTTTTAGTTGCGGGTCGGATAGCAGTTACTAATCCATCACTGATCCCCACACCCAACCTCCCTCATTCAATTACGAGAAAGCGCTATTGGTCGTTTTGTCAAATTTCGCAACGCTGATCCAATTCAACGCATATAAGTGCGAGTGCGCGAGTCACTGAACTCATAGCACCATTCATCAGATCTCGTTCTTGCAGAGCCAAATGGCGATGTTGTTGAAGAATGTGAGGGCGTCGTCGTCGCTGCTGAAGCAGCACGTGACCCGTGCGCACCTGCTTTCGCGGCCGTTCACCACGACCGAGGGCCACCGTCCCTCTATCGTCCACAAACGCAGCCTCGACATCCTCCACGATCCTTGGTTCAATAAAGTATTTCTCTCTTTTTCGATTTTCTATTTATGTTTTGGAAAATCGATGAGATTATGATGATTTCGATTGTATAAGCTGTTTTGAATAGAAAATAATTTAGTTCGCACACATAGCTTCTTTTTTTTAATTTTAATAGGTGCTGAATAGTTTTGCAATTTGTTTAGGCATTGTTTGGGTGAATATCTTGAACAAATGGTAATTTGAAGGTCTAGATATTTTCATAAGCTTCAGATTGACTTTATATAAATAAACTTATCCATGAACAATTACACATAAAATAAAATAAGGAGGCAAAATGAATTGCTTTAGTGGAGTTTTTATAGGTTAAAACCATCTTATATACTTTATTTTTATGGAAGTTCTCTGGTTTGTTTTGTCCAAAAACCGAAGTACATAATTTAATTTTAGTTTATAGATGTTTAACATTTTTCTTTTTTTGTAAGTGGTTATGAAGAAGTATTAAGATTGGGTCATAGATCATGAAAATAAGCTTAAAACAGCTTACATGAGTTTTAGATATTCTTTATAAGTTCACCAAACTAGCATAAAATGCTTTACAAATGTCTATTATTATAGAGAAGTTCAAATAAGGAGAAAATAAGTATAGCCTAATGAGATCCCACTCAGGATAATCTAATTGAGGCTTCGGTGTTGCTTAGTTAATCCAAACACCATTTTTTTTTTCTAAATTTAAGAGGTGGCGAACAATTTTTCAATTTTAAGTAGTCATTGGGTGCTGAATAACTTAAATCAAGTGGCGGTTTGAAGTTAAGCTTCGATTTATGGATCATTAAAATAAAATTAAAATGTCTCATATGGTTTTAAATATTGTTTGAGTTAGACTCATTTGGATAATTTTTCTATAAACACTTATAGGAAAAAAAGAAAGAATATAAAATGAATTAAGTTTCTCTTATGAACTTAGCATAATATATGCACTTAAGCTTTTAGAGAAGTTAAATGAAATATCTTCAATAAAGATTAAGTGCATAAGTCATTTTAGGTCGTGGGAGAAACTCAATTCATTTTACTTTATTATTTACAATTTAAGTGCATATGAGAAAATGCTCTGCAAAAGCTTATTATCACAGATGAGTTCAAATAAGATGAAAATAAGTGTGCCACCCTCTTTAGTGATGATAATTTAATTAAGTCTTCACTGATTCTATTTTTCTTTCAGGTAGGTTGTTTCTCACTTTCATAATTCTGTTTGCTTATTGTGTTACTTTTATCTTAATTTGAAGTTTTCAATTTTTTTAATAAATTCTTTGGGAATGCGCTGATGCTTAGAGCAAGTTTGAAGTGATTTTATTTATTTTTGTTAGCTTGTTTTGTAATTTTGTTTATATGAAATGGGCTTTTTGTGAGCATAGTTTGAGGCATTGTGTATGTTCCTGTTCATGGGTCTTTTTAAGTGGGTTTCCTCTTTGGTATGATCTTTGATAAATAGGTAGGTTATTTAATGTAAACTAGTTTAAACTGGTAGCAGTTCTGATTGGGTTAGTAACAAGTTTGTAGGAGTGGAAGATGAACGTGGTTGATGCAGTTACTTGCTATTGCATTTGAAGCTAGGATTGATAAATTTAAGCTTTTGCTATTGAGTTTTTACATCACCTTTTCTTCCTTTCGTAGGTATTTTTTAGTTTCCTATAAACTTCTATATAATTTAGTATTATATTAACTTTGATGTTTAAAATTAGGGAACAGCTTTTTCCATGACAGAACGAGACCGTCTTGATCTACGTGGACTGCTTCCCCCAAATGTCATGTCTCCTGACCTACAGATTGAACGCTTCAGTATGTTTTTCTATTTTCTGTAGTCTCAGGTCAATGTTGAACATATCAAATCCATGTTGCTGTGCTTGGTGGTAGTTTTGTTTTCGCATAATGGTGAGGGTGGTGTTCATGATTGAGATCCATCCTTCATTTTTCCATTAAATGGGAATTAGGTAGGTCAGGTTATTTAAATCAAGGCTTCTGCCATGGTTCGTTTATCTATTGGTTCATGGTACTTTTCATAATAAATAAAATGAACTTTTACAAATAATCTAACTTTCCTCTGTGTAATAGTAACACTTTGTCCTCTTATATATTCTGTTTAGGTGTTTTTACAGTTTTAAAAAAGTCCAGGCATTTATTTTTCTATGTTCAGTGTCTTGAATGTGTGTGTTGGTTGTCTATTCTTTCCACAACGAGTTGGGTTTTTCTTGAAGATCAACTAGTGGTCAATTTCAATAGTGTGCAAGAGAAAGGGAGCATGACATGTGTTCGATAGTCCACTTTGTACATCTAGATTTAAATGTTGTACGGAGAAGGTGTTAGACATTTCATTTGTCATATAAGATAGGTTCAGCTTTCTTCTCATTGATATTCATTCACCTTGATGATACCTTGATAATAGTTTTTTCCTGATGTTGAGAGAGGGATGAACAAATTGATCTGGAATTTTCTCATCTTGTGTTTTTGGCTGTCATATTATGTAATAGTCCTTTTTAAGGTTAAGTACGCACAAATAGCTCTTAGATTTAATGAAACTACATAAACCCTCTTTCTTTTTTGATGTTACCTTGACCACCCTTGTAAATAAAATCAAGAGTGGTTAATGTTTTCTGAAAAAAATATTATTCAAGAAGTTTTTAAATTTCTAGGAATGCTTTGGAAGTCTTATATCGATTAGAGATAAAACCAATTTATAATATATAAGTGGGTGCAAATCTCATCTTACAAGCTAGTTTTATAAATTTGTGTTAGGTTTAAAATCCACTTTTGAACATGACATCCGAGCCATGTGTTAGAGTCTATCTTAGTGAAATTTGGTTTTAGCTGGGTCTATTGTTCCGCTAGCTATCAGATCACCCATTAATGTCTAATTTTATGCTCAAGATGTATATGCCTCGACGTGAGGGATGTATTGGAGGTCCCATATCGACTAAAAATAAGACTAATTTACAATGTATAAGTCGTGAAAACCAAACCTTACAAGTTGGTTTTGTAAAGTTGAGTTAAGCTTAAAGTCCACTTTTTAACACTGAGAGGTTAGTTTGTTATATATGTTATTGTATAAAATTGTCCTTTGCTTTTATTTTGTTTCCGTGCCCCTCAATTGCTTTTTAGATAGTTTTTGTTACAGATATATAGAGATTGAATTGCTTTGTATTTTCGAAACATTGATTTGCTTTTTTTTCTGTTTTAAAACTTTAGTATATGAAATGGTCGAGAATGAGATGTTGTTGTGTTACTGCTTTGGACTGTGTGAAACAATTCAAGGAATACTCCTTTAATTGCCTGATTTTTTCTTTCTTTTTTTAATTATGTTTTAAATATTTTATTTTGATATTTCTTCTTTGAGTTTCTGCAATAAGTGATCTAGAGGCTGATGCTGACTGTAATGCATATTTTGGCCCATTTACACCGAAACTTTTTAGCATCTAGCTGACATGTAATGGTAGGCAGGTCGTGCTTGCTTACTCCCCCATTTCTTCTGTCACACATGAACTTTCCAACACACCATCTATCACCTCTGATCCATCCACTTATGAGTTTATTTCTGTCCCTGTTCCAGCGCCAGCTGCCAACAGCTATCCTATTCTGTCTCGTTCTAAATCTCGTATTCATTAGTCCGGAATTCATCTTTCCTACTTCCTTACTCATTCAAAACTTAAAACAATTAAGAAAAAACTAGAGGGTTTGCAAAGCATTGCAACAAGAAAATGATGTATTTCTGAAGCAAATTACGTGAGATTTAGTTTCTTTACCTCCTCCAAACAAACTATTGGCTGCAAATGGGTTTTTAGGGTCAAGGAAAATGCTGATTGCTCTATTAATAAATACAAAGCAAAGTTGTTAGCCAAGGGGTTTCATCAAGTGCACCATTTTGATTTTCATGAAATCTTTTCTCTAGAGGTAAAGCTCATTACCATCAAATTATTCTCACTATTCTCTCTCATGGGTGGACATTATTTCAGCTGGATATATAAATAATGTTTTTTGTGCATGGTCTATTTGAAGAAACAATTTATATGACACCACCTCTTAGAATTGGAGTCGGGGATAGATCTCCTGTTTGTAAGTTGAACAAGGCATTCCACGGGTTAGAACAAGCCCCCAAACAATGGTTTGACGAATTAAAATCCAAACTCCTTAAGTTTGGTTTTTTGGACTCTGACTCATCACGCATTATTTATAAAATCGTTCTCACGTTGTCTATTTTATAGTATACGTTAATGACATCATAATTACTGGAAGCTCTATTACTTTAATTTAGCAATTTAGAGTTAAATCCATGCAGTTTTTTTTTCTGTGAAACAATTGGCTTATTGATAGGTATTACAGACCTATACGAAACAACCTTAAAACTGTATATATTTATTCCAACAATACACTAAATTTCCTACAAATAGAGAAACTGAAACAAACATATAACTTCTGGTTATTCTTCGGTTTGCATTTCTGGCATGGCTTAAAGCCTTTTATTTTGTTGATTGAGCATCTGAAGTTGATGACTATCATTCTACTTCAGGAGCAACCATATATCTTGGTGGTTCCACAGGTAGAAAGTTACCGGTCGCTCCAATACTAAGGTTGAGTACAAAAGCTTGGTTCAAACTTCTACTGAACTGACATAGGTTTTTGCTTTGCTCTCTGGATCGAAAGTTCCATTCACTATTCCAGCTCTTCTTTGTGATGGTCAAGTGCTATGTCTATTGGTCATAATGTGGTGTTCCATAGCGACACCACATATTGAGGTTGATGTTTTTTTTGTGCGAGAAAAGTTTATGACCTAACAATTCTCTTTCTATCACATTCCAATCCTGAATCAGTGGGAAATTGTGTTGACCAATCCACTTTCTTCGCCTTGTTTTGTTTTTCTTAGATGAAGCGTAATGTGAATTCTTTTGAAAAATCTCCCCCTTGAGTTTGAGGGGGTTATGTGAATTAGTTAGAGCTGTTATTGCTAACATCTCTCTCTTGTATCAATTAAATAAAACTGTTAATCACGACTAACAACTATCTTCTTTAATGGAGCTTTGCTATAAATACTCTTGAATCTGTTGTATTTTAAAAGTTAACGAAATGTATACAATTTTGTATGTTCCTGAATTCTTTCTCATTCAGTTTCTTTTTCAAGGAAAAACCAGATAAATCTGTGAAGAACTCATCAAAGACCATAAAATTATTTATTATTATGGTTTCTGTTAGTATCCTACAATTTAATTAAAATTCTTGTGTTAATAGTGGTTGATCTGAAGAGGCTTGAAGTTCAAGCAAGAGATGGACCTTCTGATCCTAATGCATTGGCTAAGTGGCGGATACTTAATCGCTTGCATGACAGGAATGAGACTATGTACTATAAGGTATGTGTACATCCATTGTTTTCTATTGCACTCCTTTGATAACCAACAATTTTATTTTGAAAATTTTGATGACGATTTAGGTGTCAATCAACCACAACCCTTAAGTGACCCTCTAACTTATAAAGTTACAACTACATAGATTATTAAGACAAAATATAGGTGCAATTGCCATGCAAGGTTTTTTACTATGACATTTCTATTTTATTTTAGGAGTTCAGTGGCAAGTAAAATTTGATTCAACCTGCATTCCTTATGAGCATTATGAGCTCTTTTTTGGAGATTTGGGTGAACCTTTGCTAGGGTAATTTGTGTTGGATATCTCATATTGACTAGAAGTAAGAACAATTTACAATATATAAGTGGGTGTAAACCTTATCTTACAAGTTGATTTTGTAGGATTGAGTTAGGTTTAAAGTTCACTTCTTAAGATGGTATCAAAGCCATTTAGATCCAATCCTAGTGAGATTTTTTGGTTTTTGGGTCTATCATGCCACTCACTATCAGGCCTCTAATGGACTGCCCACAAATATGTAGTTATACACTAAAGATGTAGATGCCTTAGCATGAGGGATACGTGTTGGAGATTCCATAATGACTAGAAATAATGATAATTTATAGTATATAAGTGGGTGCAAACCTCACTTTACAAACTGATTTTGTATAGTTTAGTTAAGTTTAAAGTCTACTTCTTAAGAGTCTGTAATAGTAATTCCTTAAAATGTATAGAGGTTTGTGCAACATTAGCAACAATAACTACTTATAATGAAAAAATAGAATAAACTAAAACCATTTTCCATTAGAAGTTTTTTTTTATGGTGTAGCTGTGCTAATTCCTACAAAATAATGGTTACGTATGGGGTTCTTGCCATGTTCAAGTTGGTCCTAGGACTTGGTGTTGCTTAAGAGAAAGGTCTTGGGAAAGGCCGAGGGAGCGGTTTTTTCTTTTTTGAACAATAATTGGAGGGACTCCTAGGTTTATTGTGTTCTTGTGTTTTTAATTTCTCTTTTCTTTGTAGTATGCTTTTGTATAATATTTTTATCCTTTGATTCTATACTTTTCTTTTCTTTGAATGAAATGTTATTATCAAGATATAAGGGTAATATAAAATAAACTTGTGTGTGTGTTCACAATTGGAAGGGAAAAGGGTTTCTTTAATGAATAGTACATATGGATTGGATAGATATTCCTAGTTTATTATTTTATCACAGAGATAGGGAAAGTAAGCAATTTTGACATTACAATGTAAGTGAAATCTTTTTGGAGAGCAAATATAAATCCACTAAAATAACTAATTTTAATGTGGCTTAGATAAACACTACTATTAAGAAGCGAACTATAAGCCTAACTCAACCTTACAAAACCACTTTGTAAGATGAAGTTTGCACCTACTTATATACTGTAAATTTGTCTTATTTTTAGTCGATGTGAGATCTCTAACACATCCCTTCATGTCGAGGCATATTGAGCGTGGGACTAGTTATTTATGGGTGGTCATATAGTGAGTGTCACAATAGGCTCAAAAAATAATTAATTTTGGTAGGATATGCTTTTAACTAAGCTTTGATACTATATTAAAGAATGAACTTTAAGCTTAATTTAATCCTACAAAAATGTCTTGGAATGTGAGTTCTACAACTATTTATACATTATAAATTTGTCTTAACTCTAGTCAATGTGATATTTACAACATTTATCATGTATGTGAAAAGATGTTTCCCATTATATTAAAAGATTGCAAGGCCTGAAATATGTTTTTGCTTCTAGCTATGAGCAAAGTTCTCAAATCCAATATTTGTATTTAGAATATGTTCTTTTATGGTGCTCATGTGGACTAGTGCTATGTCAGATAAAGATGGTCTGGTCTGATTGTTTGTGATCTTAGCACCAGTGCAGTAGAGGTGACTACTTGTGGATATTCGGATGACCAAGTTATGTACCACAAACAAAGTGTGTAAGCGAATGGGAAAATTTTCAAGGTGAAGCAGTGCACTAGTGTATGTAGGAGGTTGGTGCTTCTCCTTTGTCAGCCATTTGTCTGTTGTTAGGAGAGCTGTATTAAGAATTGTTGGTGAGTAGTTCTCACTATGTCCAATGTTGATGGGACACTATGCCCATGCGTGTCAGAAGTGAACTTGAGGGGTTAGAGAATTTGAGACTCTAATACCATATCAGAAAAAGAAAGGAAAATAAGACAAGGATAAGACAAATGAAAATTGAACTTGTATATTATTTCACTTCATGATAACAGAGAATACAAGCCTAGTATATATAGACTCTAAAACCTTCTGAACAGGTTACAGAAAACAGAAAACTAACATCCAACAAACATTCAGTTGAATCACTGAATTTTTTACATCAATATCTCTAATATGACGTGTAGCCAGATGTCAGTCAGTTTCAAGCTAGGATGCCAATGCCAAAATATGGGTAGTAGCAGGATTGTAGGTTGGGACTGGCTAGTCAAACATAGGTTATGTTCTAGAGCAGGATATTATTCTATTGATATCAATTAATGAATTATATATATAAAGAAATTTGAAATATGTAGATATTAGGACTACATTCGTGTGAAAACTAGTATTTTTGTTGGAATTCACATAACTTATGATGAGTAAGAGTTTTATACCACATCATACTTCCTTTTTGTAACCACAATTTTGTATTGTATATTTGCTTCAACTCAGGCCATGGAAAATAAAACTTATTCTATCTCTCGCCTCCCCCCAGAAAACTATGTAATTTTCAATGACATTTCTTGTATTGTTAGGTTTTGATTGCCAAAATAGAGGAATATGCACCTGTAGTGTACACTCCAACAGTGGGCCTTGTATGTCAGAACTATAGTGGACTATTTAGAAGACCGAGAGGAATGTATTTCAGTGCCGAGGATCGTGGTGAAATGATGTCTATGGTGTATAACTGGCCAGCTGAGCAGGTTGTTAACTATTTATTATTTCTGTATAAATTTTTAGATAGTACTTTTTTATCTGTATCCTAAATGTCAATACTTCACCAATTTGTATTAATGGATTTTAAATGTTTATCTTGTTGTTGCAGTGTTGCTTTATATTGTGAAAGAGGGAATTATTGAGAGAATTTGTATTAATGTTTTTTGCTAGACAAAAATATTGTTAAATAATGTACTGAAGTATAACTGTTAGTTCCTATTTTTTTTCATGTGCTAATTGCGAGATTTTGATATATAATAGATACATGTACCAATTTATTTTTTTAATAATATTGAATGACTAATATCGTTGTGAACACTTGAATATGCTTGACAATGTGACATTTTCACCTTTTATTGGATTTGTTTCCAGTTTAGGACTTTAGTCAGAGACTAATTTGTTTAAGTGTCATTTGATATTTTTTTCAGGTTGATATGATTGTAGTAACTGATGGGAGCAGAATCCTGGGACTTGGAGATCTTGGAGTTCAAGGAATTGGAATTGCCATTGGGAAGCTTGATCTATATGTTGCTGCTGCTGGGATAAATCCTCAAAGGGTACATTGATATTCAATGTTTTATTATTTCCTTACTCATGTTTTTGACAACGATGAAATCTCAGTTTTTGTTTGGTAAATGCTGTGATCAATTGTACTTAAATAGCTGTAATGGGCCACTAACTTTTTGATCCTCAAATTCTTGTCTATTGGCTATGCCTTAACATAACAAATTCTAGTAAATGGTTCTTCCATTGGAGTATTATTATTTTGTGCTTGATTGAACAATAATTTTGTCATGGCTCCTGGTAGCATTTCTTTCGCATTTTATTCTGTCTTGAAACTGTTTTTTTCTTGCTTGGCTGGCTTGTCTTCTAATAATTATGTTTCTATTTCCTTGGGAACAATACTATGTATTACACCATTTTTCGACATTGTGATAGTACACGACTGAACACTTATGAGAAACCTTTTTTTCTTCTTACAATAGGTACTTCCTGTGATGATTGATGTTGGTACTAACAATGAGAAGTTACTTGAAGATCCCTTATGTAAGTAGTGATAGCTCTACATTCACTCGATGGTAGTGTTGTATGGGACTTATATAGAAGTCACATCACTGCATTAAAATATTGTCCATGTGATGACAATTGGGATCCAACTTAGTTAATAACGGACTCATTAATAGATTGGAGTTAATTAATTGTTAGATTTAGGAGTATATATGTGATAGAAAAGAATTAGCTCTTTATTAGCAATTCTATATTAGAAAGTCTCATAATTTAGGATAGAATCTTATATTTATTATGCTGAGAATTCAATCCATATATACAAGTCTAGGAAGCTATTTTAGGAAGCATAATAATAACTCTTAGACAACCAAATCCCTATGATTCAGGGATATACCCATTATTCACAATAATTATAATTTGTTAAATAAGGAAAATATATAACTA